AAAAAAAAAAAAAAAAAAAAAAAAAAGCACCAGAGAACACGCGGGTTCCCTGAGTCCGAGTGAAAAGCACGCCCGGCCCCACTCTGAATGTTTCCGGATCAGGGGATGAGCTGTCGGACGTGGAACCAACTCAGGACAGCAACACCGGGATGCCCACCGAGGCAGCGCTGCTAACCCAGACGGGCAGCAGGACCCAGCGAAGAGGGCGCAGTGTCCGCCACAAAATGAGAACTTCACTCTACGGTTAAGACAACGTTTGGTGCGACACCACCTCGCCCGGCAGGAGGAACCTGTTCCCTCGGCCGTGGCTTGGGACGGTTCTAATGGCAGGCTTTCACACACACAGCCGGTGGGAGGGGCCTTACTTTTCCACGGCGGACCGCTTCTGGGACTTGGACTGGTAGTTCAGCGCCATCTTGGTTTCCATGCCCGTGTAGATGGCAACACCTGAAAGGAGGAGGGGACCCTGGTGACAAGATGCCAACGCGCCTGGCCATGGAGTCTGGAACCCATGGCGGTGGGGAAATGGGTCTGGGGTCCCACACAGCTTGTTTTTAATTTAACCAGGCAGGCTAGCTGTTCAGTCAGGTGATGGGAATCTTGAGAATAAGGATGTTGTGCGTAGAAAGCAATCTGTACTTTACTTCTAAATTTCATATTTTTAATACACAGTCAGCCTTCTGCATCCAAGGGTTCTATCAGCTGGGATGGGAAATATTTTCTAAAAAAATGTTTAATCACAATACAGGCCAGACACAGTGGCTCACGTCTGTAATCTCAGCAGTTTGGAAGGCTGAGGTAGGAAAACTGCCTTAGCCCAGGAGTTCAGGACCAGACTGGGCAACAAACACAGTGAGACCTCATCTCCACAAAGAACAGAAAAAATAGTGGGGTGTGGTGGCGCGCACTCACGGTCCCAGCTACTCGGGAGGCTGAGGGAGGCAGACTGCCTGAGCCTGGGAGTTGAGGATGCAGCGGGCCATGAGGGTGCCACTGCACTCTAGTCTGGGCCACAGTGTGAACAAAACCGTAATACCACAATAAAACAAACCCCAAAACATCGTCAAAAGCATGCCAACCATCTACATAGCATCTGCATTATATTGGGTATTAATTATAAACAACCCAGAGGTGATTTAAGGTAGGCAGAGGCTGAGTGCAGGTTCCATGCAGGTAAGAGCCCCAGCGCCCACCCCCCACGGACACACAGGGACCATGGCAGTAGGCTTCCCGGGAGCTGGGCCACTTACGGATTTTTAAAAATTGTCTGATTTACTTAAAACATAGGAAATAACCCACCAGAAGTGAAAGACTCTAGCAAAGAAAAGCAGACATAAAAACCGCTTTCTGGCAGAACCACATTTTGCCAGTTCTCCCACGGACACAAGTTTATTTTCTGAGTCGAAAACCCCAGGCGGGCCACACGCAGGCCATGTTCTCCGACGTCCCTAAGCCGTGGCCTGCAGCTTTCCGTCAACGCGGACCTCTGTGAGCCGAATCATCCCTGCTACGGGGTCAGCTCTCCTCCCCGCACAGAGAGAGGCTTGCAGGCACCACTGCGACCTCAGCCGTGCTCAGCGTATCCTTCACTCCGGAGCTGGCACGGCAGCCCACCGGGGAAGGACTTACCGAAGATCATCTCGGTGTTCTTCAGCGTGGCTCCTCGGAGAAGCAGGCTCTCCGATCCCAAAGGCCTGGAAAGATACAGGTGGTCAGGAGCCAGACAAGACAGAAAACCGGCGGCAAAGCCGCTGGGACCGACGGGTTTCCTGAACAGCCCCATTTCAGAGGAGACGGTGCAAACGCAGACCTGCCTCCACGGATGACTCAAGTGAGCCCAGGTCCACGTGAAGGGACGTGGCCTTTATCTGTGAAACGAACATGTGGCTCTTCTGATATCGTCCTCTCCAGGGCTCCCATGCTGCAGGGCCCGCCGTGGAGTGCAGCCCTGGGAGCGGTGAGGACCTTGCATGGGCCTTGTAAGAACCTGGGCTCCGGGCCCCACTCAGACCCACAGAGCCAGAACCGAAAGGCTTCAGCAACTGCTCCAGACAGAGCCAGGGCTGGGGTCCCTCACATGGGTCCCCACCGGCACCGCCAGCAGCCCCTGGAGCTCATCAGGAACGTCGCCCCAGCCCCAGCGAGTCTGAAACCCCAGGGCCGGGCCCAGCAGCCCTCTCCTGACAAGCCTCAAGTTTGAGGACTGGCTCCAGAGGGCCCCGGAATGCTCTGGAAGAGCCGAAGAGGGAGCGGGCACCTCATTCCCTTTCCAGCTGTTTCTGTTACATCCTCGGGGAGACTCAGGGAACACAGCCTGTTTCTAGAGCTGGCAGAGGACACCGCAGGGCATTTAAACACACCAGACACCGAGCTGCAAAGAGCCTCTGCACCGGTGGCCTGAAATGTGGACCAGCCATACGTGGCCACTCTGGGGGAAATAAACAACAGCCAAAGAATGGAAGCACTGAACACCGCACACAGCAGACACAGATCCTGGCACGAGGATCACGTCCAGTGTTTCTGCTCATGGAACGGCAATTCCCCCCTCCTCACATCCCAACAGTTGAGGAGAAACGAGTGGACGAACTCGCCCATGTTGCTACCCATGAAACCCCAGTGACTTCTCCAGAGGGTGGAGACCCAGAGTGCTTGCCGAGGTTGCTGTCACCTCATCAGGGCTCAGTGGCCTTTCGTCATGGAAAGCTGCCAGCCTGCCGAGCACAAAGTTGGGGTGTGCTCAGCACATGACCTGTGCTGCTCAGAACGGCATCTGGTGGGCAGAGGGCAGGCTGCTTCGAGGGACGGGCAGGGGGGAGGCCACTCGAGGGGTTGCTGCCCAGATGCTCTGACCTGCCGCGGGTTCAGGGGACCGAGAGGCCTCCATCACCCAGAAAGCCCCTGTGGGCCTGTGACGGGCAGTGATGTCAACAGCATGCCAAGTGCCGCGGGTGCCCAGCTGCGGATGCCTGTTGTATGACACCCTCCTCCCAGGCAGCCCCTGACTTGGAGCCCCGGGCTGCCGTCAGGCTGTTTTACGAGGACTGTCAGCTCCTGTCAGCAACACACTTATAATAATAATCCACGTCACACGTGTTTAGGGACACGGGTGTCATCCCCTTTAAAAAAGGACTCTCAGCGCCTAACAATAATTTACTCAGACAAAAGAGGGAAGCTGCCGGGCTCGGTGGCTCAGCCTGTAATCCCGCACCTTTGGGAGGCTGAGGTGAGTGGACTGCCTGAGCCGGCGGGTTCGAGACCCGCCTGGGCAGGCGAGACCTCATCTCTACAATAAATCAAAAAATCAGTTGGGCGTGGTAGCATGTGCCTGTAGTTCCAGCGACTTGGAAGGCTGAGGCGGAAGGATCGCCGGATCCCAGCAGGTGGAGGCTGCGGTGGCCGGGAGCGGCCACTGCACTCCAGTCTGGGCGACGGAGTGAGACTCCAACTCAAAAAAAAAAAAAAAGAGGGAAGCTGTGTGGCTACCCTGACTCCTACTTTTCACAGTACCACTTAGCAAAAGCTGTTTTCCTCAACAAGTTACATTGTTACACATTATGTGGTTGAACGCAGCCTTAATTGAGATGTGTTACTTTGTTTTTCAACTAAAAGTGTTGTTCTCAGCTGGGTGCCTGGCTCACGCCTATAATCCCAGCACTTGGGGAGGCCGAGATGAGAGGACTGCCTGAGCCCACAGGTTTGAGACCAGCCTGGGCAACGTGGCAAGACCTCACCTCTACAATAAATCAACAAATTAGCCAGGCGTGATGGTGCATGCCTATAGTTTCAGTTACTTGGAAGGCTGAGGCGGAAGGATCACTTGAGGCCAGCAGATCGAGGCTGCAGTGGCTGTGAGCATGCCCCTGCCCTCCAGCCTGGGTGACAGTGAGATTCTAAGTCAAAAACACACAAACAAAAAGGTGTTGTTCTCCTAAGAAAGCTGAAATACAATAAAAATAATTTGCTAGGAAGGGGCTTTTGCTTTCAGCTTGGACAGAAGATGTGTCATGCTGAGCGGGCAGAGGCCCTGACTGCCGAATTCACAACCGTCCATGCCACAAATGCATAAATACCTTAACAACCCAGATGCTAAATGGCTACTGAGCAGATTAAACATTATAAAGCAAAACTTGAGTCCGAACCAAAACACAACGTCCGTCGTAAGCGTCTTCCCAGGCCTCATCTAGACAGGATGCATGGAGTCCACACGACGCCCATCCAGATGCAGCCCACGGGCAACACGCAGAAGCCCCGGTCTCATACTCGGTCTCATACATGCAGAAGTCCCCTCCCACAACTCACAGAAGTGCGGGTCACCTCTCTCCAGATGACAAAGATGCACATGTGGAATAGCGTGTGTTCAGGGGACCGAGAGGCCTCCATCACCCCGGAAAGCCCCCGTGGGCCTCTGAGGGGCAGTGATGTCAATAGCACTCAAAGTGCACACACACTGTCTCCTTCAGCAACAATCCAGGGGCCTCTGAGGAGGCTCCGGAAACCTGCGTCCCACAGCTATTTATGCTGCAGCCATTGCCCATGAGTCTGTTTCTACTTCTGGGAACATGTTTTGTTTGACACACAACCCCACACCAGGACATCCACAATCCGGAGGTTGCTTAACCGGGAGAGAAATTATTTCTCTAGCAGGTGGCGTTCATGGAAAAGCAGCAACTTCAAAACCCCCTGGAAGCTGCTGTCCTGAACTGTAAGATCCAAATACCACATGGGCAGCATCTGCTGGACCATGGAATGGCGTCTCGGCTCACATCCCCAGGCCTGGGGCAGGCATAGCTCCTGGCGCAAGAGGCCCGAGGAGGTCAGAGTGTTACCACGTCCTGCACAAGGTGTGGCTGTCCCAGGGCCACAGAGGGAGGTGTCCGAGGGCCACCATCTCCTTGCACATGTACCATGCGTGACCACCACGGAAACTGCACCGACGAACATGTGAGCACACCTGTGAGCTAGCCCCCCCAGCCCTGTCACCTTCCCCAGGCGGACGTGGGCCTCAGGTAGACGTGAGCCAGGGACGCATCCCAATAAGGACTGTGGGTAGATTAATTCATGCTGACAAAATGGCCTCTAAGCTGGAAGTCTTCCAACGTCACCTCTGAAGACACAAGGAGCAGGACAGTCCTGAGAGGGCCCCACCTGGTCTTGAAATTGTGACCTGGGGACCCCTCCTCCTGGCCTGTGAGGCAGTGCTCTGCAGATGGGCGGAACGGGTTTTGTGGAGCACTTCTCTGCTGTCACGTACAGGTGTCCCTGAGAGAAGCCAAGGGGCTGCTCCCTCGGAAAGCAGAATTCCCCTTCAAGCCCCGTGGGGGGAGACACCTCATGGAAGAAGGAAGGTTCATCTCACGCCACGACCCGGGCGGGACGCCAGGGCACCCAAGGCACTCACCTCACCACGGGCTCACTCAGGTCATTGTAGACATTGATGCGGCCCACGAACCTGGAACAGGAAGGCCGCGTTACCCCTCGCAGCCTACGGGCCTCCCCTGCCCGCTCTCTGTCTCTACAGAGGAAGCGCACTATTGTGAGCCAAGGGTCTACACTGGAGGCACACTCCGCACGGCTGGACCCCTGCCGGCCCCTCTTTCTCCAGAACCCTCTAATCAGCCCCACTTAGATGACTTCCCTCCCCGCACAGCCTACAAGCAGCGTTTCTTCCTTGAATCTAGTCCAAAAAAACCCCTTGAAAGTCGGTATGAAAAGCTGCGGACCCGAGGGGTGCTGTCTATGAAAACGTGTGAGGACCTGACTTGTGACCCGGACTTAATTTCCGAGCAGCCACTGCACTCTTTTTCCAAGCGGGACTCTCTGAGGGGAGCGAGAGCCCCGTTGAGGGCACAGGTGGCCACAGGTGGAGGCCCGGGATGCGCTCACTTGTAGAGGTCAGGCTGGGGCTGCTCGCACTCGATGGTGGCATGCAGCCCGTCGATGTCCTCTGCCGTGTGGAAGCCCTTGGTGTCCTGGACGGCGTAGTGCGTCTGTGGGGACAAGGGCAGGGTCTCAGCAGACTCGGCCAGACGCTCGGCGCAGCCCAGCACCAGCACCACCCAACACGGGACACGCCGGGTGGATGTTCTGTGCCTGCAAATCAGCCCAGACAAGGCCTGCTTGCCGGGGGGGAAGGTATGTCGAGAGTCCGTGCACACCAGGGAGTTACACGAAGACGAGGCTGCTGTGATCCCTGTGGCTGCAGGGGCCTGAACACTGAGAGCGTCCACCATGGCTGGGGGAGCGATGCTCTGGCTTACCCGTCACAGCAGGAGACACCATGAGAACACAGACTCAGCCCCTAAACACTTCCTTTCCGCCACGTAAGCCTGCTGTTGATGAGCATGAACACAGACAGCCCGCCACTTCACCTTCGTGACTCGGCAAGATGCCTGAGCCCAGGACTGCTGGAGGAGGGCCTGTGACTGTGGGTTGAGCAGCCGTCACTATCGGGGGAGTGTCCGCCACCACTGGGAGAAGGCCTGCCATCGTAGGGGGAGTGTCTGCACACACTTTCCTGCTCACTGGGACCCAACCGGGCTCCTGACCCATGGGTGGGCGGGTTCACCTGGAGGCTCCCCAAGCCCCTGCCTCCTAGACCCCAGTGCCCCACACTTCTGGGGAGACCGACAGAGGCTTACAGTACACACCGGATCCCCACTCCCCAGGACAGTCTGTGGCATGCTCATTCTGGAGGCTGTGCTACCTGGAAGTGGGACAGCACGTCTAGCCAAGAAGATGATAACAACAGCCGGGCTCGGCGGCTCCGCCCATCATCCTGTGCCTTGGGGAGGCTGGGGTGAGTGGAGGGCCTGAGCCCGCAGGTTCGAGACCCGCCTGGGCAGCGAGACCTCATCTCGACAATCAATCAGAAAATCAGCCGGGCGTGGTCGCGCATGCCTGTGATTCCGGCTACTCGGAAGGATCGCCAGAGCCCGGCAGGCGAAGTTGCGGCGGCCGGGAGTGGCCACTGCACTCCAGTCTGGGTGACCGAGTGAGACTCCAACTCAAAAAATAAATAAATAATAATAATAACAACAACAACCCACAGGACTGTGTACAACTCTGAGTCATCCACAAAAGGCTGGCACTGCCCCCAAGGGTTTTAAAAGAAAGTCTCTGTATACATGGGAAGAAACTGCCTGTGTCCATGGTGTTACCTAAACACCGCTCTGAAGCTGCGATGTTGTGAGCTGGCAGCTTAGAAACGGTTGAATACTCTGAGCTCTGCTCACTTCCATGAACTCCTTGGAACCTTCCGGATTTTTAAAGTAATAAGCATCTGAAAATTAATGGGGCTCCATATTTCCTTTTGTGATTGATAATTAGAACTTTGGCAGTGTCAACTACCAGGACTGAACTCTCCACCGGGGGCAAGAAGTTAATTATACAGTAACTGTAGAAAATCCTTATTACGGTACTTTGACCAGGAGACGCACCTTGAAGGGACAGGCAAGATCTAGAATTGTATGTGACTCTTCCCATGACCCTAGGCCAGGAAGGACATCGATCTTGGCTAGTGGAATGAAAGCCTTTAACATTCCAACCAACCCTCCATTAAATCCTTAATGCGGAACCACCAGGGAGATGACGGTGGCGACACTGAAGCTACCTCGGCTAACCTGAGACGGCTGGCTGTCAGGGAAAAGGAAAAAGCGGGGGCGGGATGCAGAGATGTGGTCAGAGGACTCAGAACAGCCAGTGTGGGACGAGCAGTCAGGAGGTCGCCCGGCACGAACTCTTGGCTGGTGACCATGTGCCACGCCCAGGGTCTCCCGCTGAGGGTGTAGTTCCCAGACGCCCCTGCCCTGAGGGTGGGTAACTACAGGGGCTGGTGGGTGTGATCATGTCTTCTACCACAATGGCCACTTTACGACATACGCGTCCTAGAACCCCATGCTATACTGGACACACACACAATAAAGTTTATTCTAAAAAGAAAAGAGTGGGCCAGGCGTGGTGGCTCATGCCCATCATCCTAGCACTTTGGGAGGCCGAGGCAAGAGGATTGCTTGAGCCCAGGAGTTCGAGACCTGCCTGGGCAACAAACATGGTGAGACTCCATCTCTACCAAAAAAAATAATTTTTTTTTTAATTAGCCAGGCATGGTGGCATGCCCCTGTAGTTTCAGCTACTCGGGAGGCTGAGGAAGAAGGATCGCCTGAGCCCAGGAGGTTGAGGCTGTGATAAAGTGTGATCGCCACTGCACTCCAGACTGGATGACAGAGCGAGACCCTGACTCACAGTCTTTGTTTTCGGGTTTTTTGAGTCGGAGTCTCACTCTGTCGCCCATGCTGGAGTGCAGTGGCACGCTCATGGCCACCCAGCACTGACTTGCTGGGCTGCAGCGGTCCTTCGACCTCAGCCTCCCAAGTAGCTGAATTACAGGCGCGCGCTACCACGCCCAGATAGTTTTTTGATTTATTGCAGAGATGAAGTCTCACCAAGTGGCCCGGACTGCTCTCGAGCTCGCGGGCTCAGGCAGTCCACTCGCCTCGGCCTCCCAAAGTGCTGGGATGACGGGCTGAGCCATCGAGCCCAGCCTGAAAATTTTTTGTAAAGAAAAATTAAAAAGGGAAAAGAGGGAGGAAGCGAAAGTGAGGAGAAGCCACAGCCAGCACCGCTCCCTGGGTTTTCGCCATAAGCTTTCAGTCAGTGGGCTTCCCTATGCTATGCTATTTGTCAGACCCCCACTGTGCTCCCGTTACCTTGTGGCTTGACTCTCCGTCCAAGCTGGCTGTGGTCACATGGCACGTCCCGTCGCTCCGGTTGCTGGAAAGGAAGATCAGGTCGCAGGGGAAGGTCTCGTCCTCCTTGACCATGACGATGTCCCCGACCTGCAGGACGAAGGGAAGAAGAATCAGCGGGAAGCCGCCCGGCCCCGGTCGGGACTGCAGTGTCCATGCCGCTCAGTCCCAGGAGGACACGGGCTGTGATGCAAGTCCAGGAAAGACCCTCCCAGAGACTCTTCACTGCAGCTGGGGATCCTGCCACATGTGGGTCAAAGCACGCGATGAATTTCTGAGACTTTAAAATCAGAGGGTGACTCTCCCCAAATCGGCCCATGGGTTTCATGAAATCCTGTCAAACTCCCAGCAAGAATTTCTAGACACAGAAGAGCTTATTCTAAAACACACAGGGAAAGGTACTGGCCTGGAACAGCCAAAACCATCCTGAAAAAGCGGACGGCAGTGCAGGAGTCGGTGTGCCTGGGGGCGGGGCTTAGGAGACCGCAAAGGTGGTCAGTAGGAGGCACAGTGGGACCGGTACCAAGACTCACGGGGCGGGCCGGGGAACCCAGAAACGGACCACACAGCTGTGCTGAACCGACTCCCGGCTGAGGGCAGAGCCATGTGGTTCGGGAGGGATGGCCCTTCCAGCCAGGGCTGCTGTAGCCACCGGACACCCACAGGCTGACCTCGACCTTCGCAGAAATTACGGCGAATGGGTCACAGGCTCATCGCACAGCATCAGCTACAACATCTGGTATCACGAGACGCGGTTTCTCGATGTCGCCCAGGCTGGCGAGCCACGGCCATTCACAGGCTCCATCTTGGCTCCCCGTGGCCTCGATCCCCTGGCACAAGGGGTCCTTCCACCTCAGCCTCCCGAGCAGCTGGGACTACAGGCGCCACCACGCCTCATGAGACCCGTTTTATGCAGGTCACAGGTTTGAGACCGGGTAGGTGTGTCGGTCGCTACTCACCCGCAGCTTCCGACTCTGCTTCCGCACAAGCTTGCCGTGCTGGATGAAGTGGACGGGGCACTGGTTCATGGCATTGTCGGCTTTGTGGCGAAGCCAGTCTTCATAACCCTGAGGGGCAGGGAAGATAAAGGGGGGCAGGGGGAGGGGACGAGAGAGGGACAGACAGAGGGAGGGGGAGGGGCAAGAAAGAAAGATGGAAGGGGGAGGGAGAGTGAGGGAAAGGAAGGGTGGGAGGAGGGAGAAAATCTCACGGTTAATCAAATAGAAGCGTAGCTCGCGTCCGTGGGCACCTTTCTCCACGAGGCTCACACCTCACGCCCAACTTCGGTCGGACCCCTGATTCAGCCCGGACATTTCCCCACAGCAATCTGAGGGGCTTTAAATTGTTTCAGTGTACACCTGGAAAGAGATCTGGTAAGATGTGTACTGAGGCACATATGAATGCTACCAAACTATGTGTCTGTGCCTGTCTTGAGACATCCTTCAGACAGCCCTACGGAGGGGACGCCGGAGTCAGACGATGAGAGAGACTGTGCCTCGAGCTGAAAAGCCTCGGAGCCGCAAGGCACGTCACGCCAGTTCCCTCCGGCGGCTGCACGGAAGCCCCGATGTGGACGCTCAAGGCCACGTCCCCATGACTAGACTGCCGTCTTTTGTGAGAGCCGCAGCCCAGACTCTTGGAGGACCACGCCATCCCCATGACGCCACGGCAGCCCTGCGTCCTCCGGACACGCATGCGTATTAAGCAGTCAACGGGGACAGCGCCGTCCAGCTCCCAGGCGGCCACGACAGGCATCGGCTGACATGCTGGCCTGGCACGGGGGCTGCGGCCCTGTGGGGCCCCCGCCTCACACGCACAGCTATGTGTGGCAGTGGACACAGCATGTGGCACGGTGACCTGAAAGCCCGGCCCCGGGAGTACAGTGCGGCCCCTTCCTGGACTGGCACTGCGTCTCTGGGCTCGGGCTTTGCTGCGTGTAAAGGTGCCTGGGACTCAAAAATGGTGAGGGTCACTTCTCTGTCCTGGTTCCCAGCATGGTGTGTCCAAGAGTGTCTACCACGTCTAACATCTTCGGTCACGCCTCCCGGGATGCATGGCTGATGCTGCCAAGCCAAGACACACATGCATCGTGGCCTGAACACACAGACACACATGACCGTCTTCATGGGGCCCTGCATGGTCACAGCTTCCCTCTCTTGGGGGTGCCAGAGGCCTGCTCGGTGGCTCTGGGGCCGTGGTGGCACTGCCCCTGCCTCGTCCACACTTGGCCGTGTGCTCCTCAGACTCTAGCACTCCGAAGCCCGTCTGATGGCCATGAAAGAAAGCCACACGGCTGCTCAAATCTGCATTTCCAGATGACTAGCAAGTGAGAAATAAAACTCAAGTTGATGTGAAGCGATTAATTCCTAAGTGCCATCCACACTTCGGTATGAGAGGCATGGTGGCCCTAGACAGTCTCCTCCGAAGATGAGCTGGACTCCCGGGGAGCATGTGAGCTCTTCACCAACACCCGTGACTCAGGTGACACGGGGCCGGAGTGAGGCACCCGCAGCGTGTCACCTCTGCCACCTTTGCCGTCGAAGGCCTGCACACACGCCGTGTCTCATGAAAACAGATTTGGCTTTTTCTTTTGCATTTAAAGAGCAACACCAGAAGAGCGCAGCTTTGCCAGCAAGAATGCGACCGTCAGGAATTGAGCTAGAGGCTGTCGTTCTGCAAATCACCCAGCTGCCTCAAATGAAAGCCCAACCTATAAACACTTAACATGCAAAGGCCACGGCGTTCAGAAGTTTGCAGTGAACACGTGCCTTGCATCTAGAACATGTAAACAAGTCTGACATGCCATGCCCCCCCCCAAAGAAAGACAAGCAACTCAACCTAAACGTGGGCAGACGACTGGAAGGCATCAAGACTGACCAGTGGCCAGGAAGCACACGGCCAGATGCTCGATGCCGTCAGCCACTCGAGAAACGCGGATCGGGACGCCCCTTCACGCTCCGGGACGGCGTGACCCCCAGGATGGACAACGAGAAGCACCGGAGAAACGGAAGAGCTCGCGGGCTGCCTCAATGGGGAAAACACCCTGCCGGTGCCCGGAACATGAGAGCAACGCCACTGCAGCACACGCCCCAGGGAGTCTGACACCCGGCCCCCCCCACCGCCGTGACATCTCTGCGTAACTGTCCTCTGTCAAAAGTGTGTAAATAAACAGGGGGAAAGAAGACCCGGGTCCACCCCAACCTGCACACAGTACCCTGAGCAGCATCATCCGAGACGACCAAAACGTGGAGGCGTGCAGACGCCCACCGACAGATGAACGGAAAACAAACACGGTCCACCCACACCTCCTCGGACTGCCACGCATCTGCGAAGCAGAAGGAAGGACTGGCACGTGCCACGGTGTGGGTGAGCCACAGAAACGTGATGCTGAAATGTGACTTGGACGCCTCTGGCCGAGGCGAGGGGACAGCCACAGAAAGCCTCTGCCAGGGCTGGGGGAGTGGGGGAGGCTCGCTTTGGGGTGATAAAATGGATAACAGGACAGTGAGGAAACGAGAGGCGTTCTCAGCGCTGGTCGCCGGCTCTCTCCAGTGGGTCTGAGGGCGCTGGCGCACCGGGCTACAAGTGAGAACCCAGAGCCCTGGAGAGGTGTGCTCCGGGGTCACGGCCCTCGGGTCCCAGAGGGGAAGGGGCCCGGTGAGACATCGCGCCTGGGTGACTCAGGACAGGAGCCCCGGAACGTGCTTCCCGACCCCGAGGGCCCTGAGCTCCGAGGAGCTCGCAGGACTGCCCTCCCTCCTCTGACTGCGCCAAGCCAGAACAGCTGTGGGAGGGGCCTCTGGCACGGAAACGCCACAGGCCCTTCGCACAGCAGCGCGCCCGCGGGCGTCTGAGCCACTCACCTGCTTGATGGCGGTGACGGTGATGACGAAGAACAGTGGGAGCCCGCTGGTCACGGGGCTCGTGGGCGTGTCAATGATCAGCTGCGGGAGAGGCACGTGGGGGTCACTTCAGGAGCAAGAGCAGGGGCCGGGCAGGCTGGGGCGCCCCGCCGTGCCCGACGCCCCTGGCTGGTGCCCGCCTCATCAGCCCCCCAGGCCCACAGGGCAGAAGGTAAATCAACCCCGAGCGGCTCTGCGCCCGTGGGCCACGTGCTTCCACCGAGGGGTGGACAAGACCCCATCTGCAAGCGGCAGACACGGCTGAAGCCGGCCACAACCGCTAGCTCCCTCCTCGCCCCTGCCCCACGGTCATGACCTTCCCTGAGTGGTTTAATGTGGGGAGGTCTGGAAGTCCTTCGGTTGTGTTTTGTATGATTTAGAAAAAGGTTCCTGTTCCTTAAACACACGTGACGTGTTCCCCCTAATTCACGCCCTTGCTGTGTTTCTTTTTTCTTTTGAGTCAGGGTCTCCTTCTGTCATCCAGGCGGGAGTGCAGTGGCACACTCACGGCTCACCACAGCCTTGACCTCCTGAGCTCAGGCGATCCTCCCACCTCAGACTCCCACGTAGCTGGAACTACAGACACGCACCACCGCGCCCGGCCTTTTTTTCTCTTTGAGCTCTCTTTTAATGTGTAACTTCTTTGGATTTTCTTTGGGGCGCCCACACCGCTTATGAAGAGCAGTGCTTAGCTTGGCTGTGAACTTGTCCTAAGGTCACAAAATTCCTGCCCGCCCCACCAGTACCAAAAGGACAGCAGGAAGGCGGCCATCACCACCTCGTGCACACAGTTACCTCAGGTGTGCCTCTGCCTGCATGGAGCTCACAGAGCCGACACTGTGGCAGGATTTTGTCGAGAGTCGGGACACGGAGGCCAGAAAGCAGTTTTATTTGTGCCGGCACCGGTTCAGCAGATTCACGTCCAAAGGCTGAGCCCCGAGCGCAGGGGGGGGCAGTGCCTTGTATACAGGTTTAGCTTCTTTGTCCCCTGATAAGGCTTACACACCAGTAACCTATAGGCTAATCGGGTACTCCACAGCTCAAGGGTACAGCAGAGTTACACATGCGCACTACAGATTGGGGCTACATTTCTTTCTAACCTGAATCTTCCAAGGAAGTTTTTATCTTATGGTGCTAGAAGAACTCTTTCATTATTCTGGGAAGGCTTGTATCTTACTGTACCACAGGGGCCCCTACTCTGTTCTGGGAAGGCCTTCATCTCATTAGGCTTGGGGGGAAGGGCTCCCGGCCTCAACATGTTTTGCCCTGAAGCAGGGAGATGGAAGAACCGTGGCCCAGAGGCACCACGTCCTTGCTCTTACTGCTACATAGGGGTCCCCAAGATTAAAACGCCACGTATCCAGACATTCAAGTGACAGTCTGGAGAACAGGCCCGGCCTTACCTGGACCAGGAAGATGATCAGGAAATAAAAGTTGGCTATTCTTCTGAACTGCTCAAACAAATTCTTGGGTATGAAGTTCCAAAATGTGTACTGCATAAAAGACACACCAAATGCGTCGATTAGCTCAGGCTCTGATTTCTGTGGCGTTAGTCTACGGCGTGATGTGTGACACTGGATCGCAAAGGACACGATGTTGGGTTAGGAGAACAAAACTCATAACTGGTTGACATTCCATCCATTTGTCAATCCCCAAAACAAGCTGGCGAAGCAAAGTGTACCCGAAACGAGGTGAATGACCTAACTCCAGAGAACGCCAGATAGAACACAAAGTCGTCCCACGGTAACTTTATTACTACGAAATCTTCCACGATCATTTGCTCAACACAGTCGCATGTGTGCCGCACTGCCTCTCCCACAATCTCTCTTTTTTGTGACGGCACGGCAGTCAGCTCACTGGGCGTCTCGACCCGCGCAGGGGCGGCTTCTCCACAGCGGGGTGTCCTGTGTCCCCAGCCACGCACCTGAGCCCTTCCGCCTCCCCGGGGTGGGGGGCGCTCTGGCCACCGCGGTCCCTCCAGCCTTTTCTTTGACCTCGGGAGATTCTCTCTCCACTTCTGTGTTGAGCACAACCAGGTCCCGATGTCACGAACCCACAGTAGACGTCGAGTTTGGAAATAGTTTTTAAAATCCCACTGGACACATGCTGCCTCTTTGAGAACACCACCCACCGGAGCCGGAAGAGATGCCCTGTGCAACCGGTGCCGCGATCTCCGCCATCTGTCCGCATCTTCCATGGCTGCAGTTCAAGCCCCGCTTGGAGGAGAGGGCGCTGGCATGGTGGAGCCCAGAGATCAGCGGTCAGACCAGACTCTCACACCCAGAGCTCCTTCCCACCAGGATCACAGCCTAAGTCCTGCGCTAAAGAAGCAACCGGGGTCCGGAACGGCCTGCGCCCACCCCAGGTATTCCGAGTGTTTTTTAAAGGAAATCCTTGTGTCTTTTTTTAAAAGCTTCTTTGCCCTCGCTTCCAACTGCTTAGAGTGTTTAGGGGATTTCCATTTCCGATGCTAATTTACATTCACACAGTGCTTTCCCCTTTCATAATGAAGCTCTCCCTTTTTTGTTTTGAGTCGAGTCTCATTCTGTCATCTAGGCTGGAGTGCAGGGGCACGATCATGGCCATGGCAGCCTCCACCTGCTGGGTTCAGGCAATCCTTCCGCCTCAGCCTCCCCAGTAGCTGGGACTACAGGTGCGTACCACCACGTCCAGCTAATTTTTTTATTTATTGTAGAGACAAGGTCTTGCCAATAGCGCATTTGGTGTTGTTCGAAAACTCACCACCCTCTAGCCTTCTACAAAAAACACGGGCTTCAGAGTCGACCCCACAGTGAATCCTGGCCCTGCCATTCAAAATACGTGTAAACATCAGCAAATTATTTAGTGATTCTGACTTCCAGTACTTTTTTATCTATAAAACTTGACAAACATTACGCCCACAATCAATCGTTTTACATTTTTAAACAAGATCTATATTTCCAATAAGTTTTAAAGGAGACAGTAAAGAAATGCAAGCTGTCAAGTAACCACAGCATTTGGGGCTTGTTCCCACAATTCTGTGATCAACGTGGGATGATCTTGTATTTTTCGTATATTTCCTTCCCAAGAGAGACCAAGTCTAAAACGGGTGATCTTTAAGGCCCGTCCCCTCACCCCCAGGAAATCAACCCTATTTCCCGGCAACCAGGCTGACACATTTATTATAATAAACCAAAACATTTCCAAAAATTTCTGTAATATGTGACTCAGTAACAAGGTCACATTGAAGAAAACAGTTTCTACTTAAAATTCCATCTCTCAATATGGAAACATTTACAGATGAAAACCCAACTCCACGCTGTGTCAGGTTTCTTCAAAACGGCCCTTGGAACTAAAGTAGAGACGCCGTCAAAACAGGTCGCGTGTGGCACCCTGACGGTGGGCAGTCCGGATCACGACTCGACTCTCCCTACTCGGTGTCGTTTCCATATCAGGAACGTCGCCTCACAAATGAGACTAAGCAAAGTACAATGACCTTTCTGAATCCTTCCCAAGGTGCAGACCGAGTCTTTCAACCCCTGGGGGCTATGTCCACATCCGGGCCTGCTACATCTGAGCGTGACTGGACAGCTTTGGAATGTCTAACCACGTAAATGATCACTTGACTCCAATCGGCCACTGAAGTTTCCCTCTGCAGCTGAGACTCAGTAGGCTTTGTGATATTCAAGTTTTACAGGTTAGTTATTACTGCTAACCACTAATGCTACCAAAGGAGGTTATTAATTCCTAATGAAGTATAATAAGAAAAATGAATACTCGGCTGGGTACAGTGGCTCATGGCTATATTCCCAGGAGTTGAAGACCAGTTGGGGCAACATAGCAAGACCTTGTCCATACAGAAAGCCAAAACAGTAAGCCAGGCCTGGCACTGCACCTGCAGTCCCAGCCAGTTGGGAGGCTGAGGTGGGAGGACTGCTGCCTGAGCCCAGCATGTCAGGCTGCAGCGACCATGATCGTGTCACCACATTCCAGCCTGGGCAGCAGGGCGAGACTCCAACTCAAAATGTAAAGGAAGAGAAAACGCAGTGAAAACATTTAAGCCTTCATGACCTCTTAGCAACACATGGATAAAATAAACCAAAATGAGCATTTTATTGCAGTATCAGAGCTGGCGACCTGGCAGTGGCAGGACAGCTGTTCACCCTTGGTGAACTGTGGTGATCTGAACACCTGCCTGGCTGTGCTGGCCACAGTATAGTGCATCGCTGGGCCCACACGCTGGGGTCAGACCCTGCTTCATGGTGACACACTCAGCAGCAGTCCTTGGTCCTGGGAGCTCCCAGGGCCCCGGCTACCAGTGTGAGGTTGCGTCTTCCTCCTATGAGGAACCTGCACCCCAGCGTCCCTCTCCAGTCCAGCAGATGCCAGGAGGCGTGTTGAGTCACACGAGACCACCCATCACTCCTTGGGTTCCTTTCATACTTATAAAAGACGCCACGCCAACATCCATACTCGCTGAATTTAACCCAGCTCCGACACCTCACTGGCAGCCAAGTCCCTGTTCTGTCTATCCTGTGTGCCTGATGCTGGTTTCCGGTCACTTGCCCGGAGTGTGGTCGGTGGACAGGGACGCACTCAGCCCCACCCACCTCTCATCACGTGGCCACAGACAAGTTGCAAGAGGAGGCTCGGGGACGGCGGGCTTCTCTGCCAGTGGCTGGACATCCAAGGAAACATCTGGAAGCCTCCCAAAACCATGGCTACCAGCCCCGCAGCCTCGCACGTGGTCATCCTAATCATGGCCTAGAAACTGGACACCCACCCATGGGTGGTAACAACCAGCCCGCAGAATTGGGGCTTCTCTGTCACTTGTGATGGGGTAATGGGGCGTGAGACACAGAACATGGCGCCCAAGTCTGGGACGGCAGACGTTAGAACACGTGAGGACGCTGGGGGCCCCGTGGCAGGGCCTCTGAGCTCGGGTCACGCGCAGGGCCAGCTCGTCTACTTCCATGGCCTCGGGCACCATGCTGCCTCGAGCTCCTCACCAGTAAGTTGGGAACCAGCAGCAGTGGGCTCCCGGGGTTGTCTCAGACGTAAATGACGGTGAACACGGGCGCCACACAGCACAAGCCATGGAGACGCCGGCTGTGTCCACTCAGCGCCGAGGCGACTTTCCTCCCAGGGAGCAGAGCCAGCCCAGCTTTTCTGAGGGCATGGAGTGACGACATAGACTGGGCCAACAGTTACCTGTGCAAGCAAAGCTGAGAACCATGTGGACTCTGTGCCCTGACGTCGGAGTCTGTGAACACTGGCAAGTTGGGACCCAGCAGTTCCTGGAGCTCAGGGTCCCCGACTCAAGCCGGCGTGCTGGGGGCGGGTTCTGCAAGGGCCAGGAAGCAGGCGGCCATGCTGGCGGGGCGCATCGGTTCCCCTCCCTCTGCCAGATGCCACCCATGTGTCTCCCGGCAGAAGGACGCACAGGCCTGACCCATCCTGATCACCAACAGCCGCACTTCAGGAGCCAAAGAGAAGTTCAGGGTGAGAAGACCAGCTTCCTGTCATCTCTTACAACTCTCCCCACATGACGTGGCTTGGATGGCTGCCCTCCAAATCCCGTGGGAAACGTGGCCCCGGGTTGGAGGTGGAGCCTGTGGGAGGTGTCTAGGTCATGGGGCGGATTCCTCACGGACAGCTTGGTGTCCTCCTGTGGCAGGAGCTCGGCTCACGCAGGAGCTGTGTGTGGAGAGAGCCCGGGCCGCCTCTCCCTTGTTCCCGCTCCCCCCGTGGGACAGCTCGTGTCCCCGAGGGTCTCTCTCCCTTCCCCTTCAGCCATGACTGGAGCTTCCAGAAGCCTCCCCAGAAGCAGATGCTGGTGCCAGGCAGGACCGTGAGCCAGATAACCCTCTCTTCTTTGTAAATTACCCAGTCTCGGGTCTTTTGTTTTTGAGTCGGAGTCTCACTCTGTCGCTCAGGTTGGAGTGCAGTGGCACTCTCACAGCCACTCCAGCGTCAACCTTCTGGGCTCTGGTGATCCCTCCGCCTGGCTAATTTCTTATTTACTGTAGAGACGAGAGCTCACCAAGTTGTGCAGGCTGGTCTCGAACCTGTGGGCTCAGGCAATCCACTCGCCTCGGCCTCCCAAAGTGCTGGGATGATAGGCTGAGCCACCAAGCCAGGTTTTTTGTTTGTCTGTTTGTTTGTTTGTTTTGAGTCTGAGTCACCCAGGTTGGAGTGCAGTGGCAGGCTCACAGCAACTACAGCCTCAAACTACTGGGCTCAGACGATCCTTCTGCCTCGGCCCCCTGAGTAACTGAAGCTCTACAGGTATGTACCACCATGTCCAGCTAATTTTTTGATTTATTGTAGAGACGAGGTCTCGCCACATTGCCAGGCTGGTCTTAAACTCCAGGGCTCAGGGAATCCTCTCACCTCTGCCTCCCAAAGTACTGAGATTAGAGGCGTGAGTCACCATGCCCGCCCTAATCAGCCTCTTTTTCCAAAGACAGAAATAAAAATTTTCTTCCCAAGAAAACAGAGGTAATCCCGATAAAGGCACTCTCCAAAAGCAGCCGTACCGATGACGTTTGGCAAGTGAGACAGTGTGTTCTTCATACATCCTGAGCCGTTAAATGCCAACATGCATGAGTCCTTGGGTACGCACTCTGGAATTCCACTTCAGCTTATCTAAATCAATGCCACCATCAAGCCGGCTGTCAGTTGAGACGAAACCCTCGCCACTTGGAGGGCCTCTCCTTCCGGAGTCTGATTAGCAAGACAGGTTGTGTGGACATAACTTCCTTTGAAATGACACATCACCATATACCTGAAATCGAGACTGGGCCCCTCGCCCCGCCTCTGTGAGCAAGGGAGACTGCTTCACACACACAGGCAATGGGGCGCACATCCCCTTCTGTCCTCAACGGCTGAGAGGAAGCCGCCCAGGTACTCTCAAGGCCGCTCACCCTCCACAGGGGCATCGGCCGGGGGCCCAGACCCTCCAAGTGTGTTGACTCAACCCTGAAACTTCCTGCTCGAGGGCTTCCTGGTGGGAAGGATGAAAGGCCGCAGGCACCTGCAACAAGGTTGCAAAACCTCTTCCTGGCAGCCTTCCCGGCACAGGGTTTCCTGCACTTGAAACCCAAGGGGCGTCGGGGGTGGCGGCTCTGCCCAGAGCGGGAGAAAGGCCCTGGTGGAGAGGGCATCAGGGCATCGGTGGGGCCGGGGAGTAGGATGGGTCAGCTCGTGTCCCCGAGGGTCTCTGCGGGAATGCTGGAGAGACCTTGAAAGTGAAACACATCTGGAATTGAATCAGGCAGCAGAAGGGGAGTGGATGTAGACATCGCAGCACTCAAGGCCAGAGGAGGTGGTTCGCGCCGGTCATCCCAGCACTCTGGGAGGCCCGGCAGGATTTCTTGAACCCAGGAGTTCGAGACCAGCCTGGGCACCCTAGCGAAACCTCATCTCTGCGAGAAAGTTCAAAAAACTAGCCGGGTGTGTTGATGTGTGCCTGCAGTCCCAGCTACAGGCTGAGGTGGAAGGATCGCCTGAGCCCGGGAGACAGAGGCTGCCATGAGCCATGACCATGCCACCGCCCTCCAGCCTGGGTGAGAGTGAGACCGTGACTCAAAAAAAAGGAAGACAGACAAAAAAGAAAGGAACCGCTGCGCTCAGTGTTTCCTCCAAGGACATGATAGGGGCTCCTATCAGAAGCACCGCTTGCTCCAGCCCCGCCACATGCCCCTTGTGGCCCAAGGAGGTCCATGACGCCACTCACCCCTCGCTCTCTGTTCCACGTGCTTCCTCCAAGTGGCCTGCGCAGAGCTCTCCACACCCCCGGGAAGATCAGGCTTGTGCCGGGAACGGGGAGGCCTCTGGGGGTCGTGTCAGGGGGGTACCTTATGCCCGACCCCACCCCGCCCAGTACACGCCCATGACCTCACGGGGGCTCCCTTGGGCCTGTCATCTGTGCCTGGAATGCCACCCCACCGGTCCACGTCTCCATCCTCACCAGCTACTTCCTGCTGCACTAGGGTTGGTTCTTAGGATTATGTTGGGGATTTATTTTCGGCACCGGGGGAGCTGGGGATGTGCGCTTCGGCACGAACCACCTTCAGGGAGCGCCCCTGGAGAGGGGGCCGGCTTCCCGGTCTATGAGGAGCACGGCCGCAAGGGGGTGGCTTCGGATATTCTCATCAAAACATTCCTCCCTTCATTACACGGCTGGGTGAACACCACTACATTTCCCTGGCTGGAATTTGCTTGTGAGCACTTGAGGTAAACGTGTTATATTTCTGGGGATAAAGCTATTATGACTTTTTGTAATATTGCAGTTGTGAACTACATCCCATTAAAAGGCTCTGAAAAGTAGCCGTCTCTTTCCTCATATTCTTAACAAATGTGGAGCTCTTTGAGAGCTCAAAGGGAATTAAGTGGGTCAACCACAGGGGTCTCCACGTCAGAACACTCAGCGTGAGTAAGCAAGTAGGTCGACTACAGAAGTCTACACGTCAGGACACCGAGGTGTGAATTCAGGAGGTCTACAGTGTGCTCTACAGGTCAGGACACTCAGATGTGAATTCAGTAGGTCGACACAGAGGCTACCTATGTCGATCTCCCGTGCGTGTGTGCATGTGTTCTGGCTCTGTGTACGCACCTGAGGGAACCTGCCTGCTGTGGGGAAAGCCCCACCTTCCCTGAGGTAAGCGCCAGCCCCAAGCCCCTGGCTGCACTCTGCTCCCATTTCCCAGGTTATGCATTCAACATGCCACGTGTCTGCTTGTTGCGCTCTAGTCAGTGAAAGGAGCCTCACCGCCCTCAGTCCCACACGGGGTCCACACCACCTCTCGCTCTACACCTGGTGGACAAACTCCTAGATGGCCTTCGTGTCTCCCGCCCTGCGTGCCCGGGCAGCTTAATCTCCAGGGCGGCTGGGGACACCTCCGTCTTATAGACAAGGACCCTCTGGCCAGTGTTAGTGGGCAGCATGTGTCTAGGCAGCGGCGAAGCCGGGTGCGAATGCTGGGACTTCCCACATGACGCTGCCTCTGTGTGTGACCCGGGAGGAGGGAGATCTCGGGTTGCGGCCTCTTAGCAAGTCTGAACGTGTCTGGGGATGGTCAGAGCCTCCAGCACCCTGTTCAGTCCCACCCCAAGGAGCTGGCACCTGCCACAGCAGGGTCATGGCCACCAAAGGCGTCGACGCCCCAGCAGCTCCTCCGGTGAGAAGGGACCCTGGCCTGAGGCCATTACCTTGGAGGAGACGATTCTGTTGTCCGGGTACCTCTGCGGGATGTAGGCCTCGGCGCCAGGTGGGGGCTCCTTGTGTCCCACGTAGACGGTCCGGCTGTCCACCCAGTTCTCTTCCCCTGCACACTGCGGGAAGGGGACGCTGTCAGCGCTCTGCTCGGGTGCCGCGCGGGGAGCCAGCCTGGGGACAGGCCCTAGTGCGTGCGCCCCAACGCACACCCGCACCTGCTGGCCCTGCCTCAGGGGATCCAGCCCAGCCCCCGCCCCTGCTCCCATCCCACACATCCACGTGGGCCACGGTCTTCAACTCGCTGGCCCAACCCAGGTGAGCCATGGGAAAGGCTGTCCGCTTTCCTAGGAGAGCCACAAAAGCTGACTGCCAGGAACTGACCCGGGGTGGGCTCAGACAAAGTCAGAACCCAGTGCAAAACCCCGAGGTTCCAGCAAGCCAAGAGATGGTGCGTCAGGAAGGGTCGTTAGGAAGGAGAGACCAAACCACAGGGACTATCCAGTCTGTCGGCAGCCACGCAACAGGGCTCCCCTGCCAGGAGTTGGCAGGTCTGGCTCAACTTTGCATCCTGCAGATGCTACACTTCGAGGGCCTGCATGGACTCCTGGCTAGAAATGGCCCAGGGACTCCCACAGACCACAGGACGTCAGCTCTCAGGGCAGAGGCTGCTTCTCGAGACACAAGACCCAGGACGTGGCCCAGGGCCCCCTCAGTCTATGCAGCCCTAACACAGGGTCCTGGGCCCCCCTTGGAATGCATGGCTGTAGCACACAGCCCCAGGTCGCCCCTCAGAACATGCGGCCCCGCACGTGGCCCTGGGTGCCACGGCCCAATTCGCCGAGGAAGGCGTCCTCGGGACGGGAGCTTTCCTGGAAACATGAGCGGTGCTGACAGGAAGACGGAGCCTCTCGGCTGAAGAGATGCCAGGAGCGACAGGAGAGTGAGCAGACACCAGGGTCAAGGAGCCACCTGTGGCCGCTGCCCTCACGGCCTCAGGTGAGCTGCGCATCTGATTCCCCAAGGGCAGGGCAGCGCCTTGCCCAGTGCCTTCGGAGTGGTACATGGCCATGCATGGACACCAGCCCACATCGCATCAGGGAGCTCTCATCTGGAAAGCCGGGGAGACGGGTGGCCCGAGCCGAGCGCCCCACATTCCTGTATGGAGGCCTCTGAACGCATCTCGAGACCCACGGCCCTCGCGGGTTCTGTCTACACCACCATCTCCTCTGCTCGCCCATCACCTTCCGGGTGAGCAGGGTTTTCAGGTGTGTGTGTGTGGACATGCTGTACGGACGCCTGCACGTCCCTGTCATAACAAACCCACTGCTGTGTCTCGTTTGCCTGGAATGTCTCTTACCAGGACCCAGCTTTGCAGAACCATCCACGGAAACACAAGGAAAAAGACCCCAGCAGTCCCTGCACATGCAACCGTGTCTTCAGAGACATTCGGCTGAGACTATGAACCGCATTTCCACGGAAGCCACGACTCCTACGGTCCCTGGGACAGAGGCGGACCGGCAGCCACCTGGCCCGCAAGGGACATAAGCCGACAAAGGAGCCAGGGCGTTTCTCCTTGGCACAGCCGTGGGGTGTGGCCCCAGGCCCCAGCTGGCTCCGCGGCACCCATGGGGTCCCGGCTCACGCCGTGGCCTGGCTGCCCCGTCCCCGTGAGGACGGGCCTCCCTCCCCTGGGGCCAGGTCTCCCACGTGACAGTGGCCTTCCCCGCCGTCTCGCCATCGCGTAGTGAAGTCAACAAGCATGCGGGGTGCTGACTCGAAGCTCCCAAGAGCCTGCGAAGAAACTGCCATGCCTAAGAGCATTCCTCGGAACGGAGCCCAAGGGGCCATCCTCCTTCCCTGGATTCAGGAAGCCACGCCGGAGAACACACACGCCCAAAGCGAACCAGAACAAGGAGAAGCATGCAGATGTACTCTCAACCCCACTGAAAACCCTAGCAGCCTTTCTTCTAAGCTGCAGAGACAGTGGCTGAATTCCAGCCATGGCCACCAGCCCGACTCTGTGACTCTGAAGCTGAACTCTCCCCGAGGGCTGCGTGGTGGTGCCCAGGGGACAGGACCTGGTGCTTTCCGGTCACCTGCAGCCGGGACAAAAGGACCCTGTCTCTCTTCCTTCACAATGGGAATGAATTTATGGAGGCCAGTTCGTCGTCTCAACACCATCACGTAGACAGCTCTCGCCAACTATAATCACGCTAACATCTCAAACGGCAACTCAGCCTTTTGTACTGGTGCACGCGGGAACGCCCATTCTTGCCTGTGTAATGACGACAAAAAAGAAACGGCGCACCATGTGTGGCGGGACGTGCCGAAGCCCACAAAACAAGAAACTCCCTTGGAGAGAACCACACACACCAAACGAAAGCTGAAGCCTACACGGGCATGCCTCCTTCGGGCTGGGCACAGTGGCTCATGACTTTCATTCCAGCGCTTTGGAAGGCCAAGTAAGGTGAGAGGATCTCTCGAGGCCAGGAGTTCAAGACCAGCCTCAGCAACACAGCGAGGTTCAGCCTCTACCAAAGATGCAACTCTTAGCCGGGCACAGTGGGGCGCACCTCTAGTCCCAGCTACTCGGGAGGCTGAGGCAGAAGGATCGCCTGAGCCCAGGAGGGCGAGGCTGCGGTGTGCTGTGAGAATGCCACCGCACTCCAGCCTGGACCGCAGAGCAAAACTCCAAATCCAAAAAGAAAAGAAAGGAGGAGGAGGAGGAGGAGGAGGAGGAGGAGGAGGAAGAGGGGAGCGAGAGGGAGAGAAAGCCACCTTTAGGGATGGAGACAGAAGTGCCACCCGGAGGTGCCGTGTGGCTCCTGCTTCTGTGACCAGCCGGGGGGGACCGGCAACTGAACGCCGGGCATGAATGGCGTGCCTGCACCACTGTCAGCTCTTCCCGTGGCATAGCACGACAGAAACCAAAGGAGGCCCCAGCACCCCTCAGCGGGCTGGTGCAGGTGCCAGGGTGGGCAGACACAGACGGCTCTGGACTCGGGGGGAAGGCCAAGGTGGCTCCAGCAGGGTCTTCCCCATGGCTCAAGTTCGGGGAAGGCCAGCCTCGCCCGTTCAGAGGGGACTCAGGACGCAGTGCCCAGGACCCTGGAGGAGGCGGGACACATCGTGCCACCAACGCCCGATGGGACAGATGTCCCGCTCCTGCGGCCGACAGGCTGAGCGGCCAGGCGCCTCACTCAATGCTTCTGTCAACTTCGTCAGCCGCTGAGTGGTGAAGGGATTCGGCCGGACAACCCTGTTGACCTCCCAGCTTCCCCAAGGTGGCTTCGCAGTCAGCAACGCCAGCGTACGAGCGCGACACCCGGACCGTGACCATGACGCAGCCGTCTGGAGGCTGAGGTTAACCCCGCGCCATGCAGCTGAAATAGGCGCATGGTACATGGGGCTGGTCTAAGGTGAAGCCAAGCATCTGTCAAGGGTGGAAAGGTGGAGACCCCAGCCTCGGTGTCTCTGTCCCTCTTAGGTCTGTGACTCAGCTCAGCACGCTGCACGCGATGCCGCCACAGAGCACCAGGGATGGTGGAGGCTTCCACCCACAACGCGACACGGGGCCAAGCCCTCCACGGTCTATCTCAGCGGGTTTCCTAATGACTCCTAACGACCCGGCTGAGGATCAGGCATCCAAACTGCACGGAGGAGCCCCTGGTATGTCCCCCAGGAGGCTGGCACCAAGCTCCAAAGTGACGTAAAAATCTGTACTTTGGTGAGTGGGATTGGACGAGACACATGCTTACCACAAAGGCGCAAACACAGTGTGCACACGAGCGCTCACGGCCGCGTCACTCGTGGCAGCCCAAAAAGCCGCCAACTGCTGAATGGCCAGCAGAACGAGGCCATCTGCATGGCAGAGTCGCACCAGCTGGGAAAGGGAATGAAGCCCTCACATGCCACAGCACGGACGGCCAGAAGCATCCCGCAGGTGAAAAGACAACACGCCGTGCGAGTCCGTCTACACCAAGTGTCCAGAGCAGGCAAGTTCACAGACACAGGTTGCCGAGGGTGTGGCGAGCGACGCTGAAGGTCTCTGGGGGAAAACACTGTGCTGGGCTAGAGGGTGGTGACATTGCACAGCCCCACATGCATTCCAGCTGGAACCCAGGAATGGTCCACACGAGCAGGGTGAGTCGCATGATACCTGAATTACACCTGATAAAAATACTGTAAGCCTGCACTTTGGGAGGCTGGGGTGGGAAGACTGCTTGAGCCCAGGAGTTCGAGACCAGCCTGGACAACATGGCAAGATTTTGTTTCTACTTTTCTGTATTAAAAAAAGGAAAAAGTTGCAAACATTTTTGCTGCAATGAAAGGCATCTGTGGTTTGCACACGCAGGGTCATTATTTCTACACAGCACAGGATGATGCCACTCTCCTGCATGACTGTCATTGTGAAAGGCACCCTCATGGCCCGTTCACCTCTGGTCCGCCCCCTCAGGCGATTTTCTCTACTCCCTGGAGGGGAAGATCCTGTCTGAACTGCCTCACTCTTCAGTCCCCGTGTGAATTCCAGAGATGCAGACATATAGCTCATTCCAAAAATCCCCCAGGAAGTGAAAACACCTGCCACGGGACACAAGCGGGCAGGACCCCAGCAGAGCCCTCACACCACACAGTTTGCAGCTCTTTTGCTTAACTGTTAATGCAGGAGCAAGTGGCAAATTACCTCCCTTTATCTTTTTTTTTTTTTTTTTTAAGCAGGACTTATTGAGAGAACAGAAAATCCCCCACAGTGGGAAGGTACCCAAAGGGGTTGCCCCGTTTATTTTTTAAAATTAAGTAATTACTACGTCTTGAGTCAGGGTCTCACTCTGTGACCCGGGCTGGCATACAGTGGCACAATGCCGACTCACCGCAGCCTCGGCCTCCTGGGCTCAGGCCAACCTCCCACCTCAGCCTCCTGGGGAGCTGCAACCACAGGCGTGCGCCACCATGCCTGGCTAAGGAAAGAAATTTTATCGTAGAGATGAGGTCTCGCTACGCTGCCCAGGCTGGTTGTGAACTCCTGGGCTCAAACAATCTTCCCACCTTGGCCTCCTGAGTAGCTGGGACCACGGCGCCACCGTGTCTAAAACTACATCAACTTGGAATGAGGACACATCACAACCCCAGTCTAGGCGAGCACGTGACCTGGTCCTCAATGACTCACGATCGAGTCCTGACATAGGAGCCAAGCAACCACGGTGGCTTGGCTAGCGTGGGTTTTCGGTTTAACCCTGAAGAGTGTCGAGGCTTTGGTGTGGTCCTGTCACCCGTCCTTACCCAGTATAGCTGGACGGGGCAGGGTCTGCAGACCCTAAACACGCCCACCTGTGTCACCTCCACGACTCGCACGCAGACTGGAGAAGAGAGGACAAGAAAGGCTGCCCCAGGCCTGGGGACAAGTGCTGGGGAGGAAGGCTGACTCGGCAGACCAGACGGCCAGTCACCCTCCCACCCACCCTTCCAGAAAGGGGAGGCCTTGAGGAAGAACAGCTGCAATTCCACAAGACGGGCGCCCGCGCACACGGTGACCTGAACGTCCTTCACGGCTGCTGCCCTCCAGGCTTTTTTTAAAGGTATTTTTGACACTTGGGATTGAAAAACTCTACCTGGAAAACACAAAGTCGACCGGATGCGGTGGCTCACTGTGGGAGACCGCAATGGGAGGATCGCTGGAGCCCAGGAGTTCAAGACCAGACTGAGCAGCACAGCAGAACCTTGTCTTTGCAAAAATAGAAAGAATCGCCCAGCACAGTGATGCACCTGTCCCAGCGTCTTGGGAGGCTGTGGTGGAAGGATCACCTGAGCCCGGGAGGTTGCGGTTGTGGTGAGCCACGATCGTACCACTGCCTGGGTGACAGAGCGAGACCGCGACTCCAGAAGGGGAGAGAGAAAAAGGAAAACAGACACACAAAACCGCTGTCCGCACGCTCAGCAGTGCGGCGTTCTGACAGGCGCCCAGCACCGGCGTTTGAGGGTGGAGGAAAACGCCCCAAGGAGCAAAACGCCCTGGGCCCTCGTGGCTGCGCTCCACAGCGACAGCGTCCCTCTCGCCCCAGGGCAGGACGCACAGCTCCCAGGGATCCATGGCTAACGCGCTTGCCAGCTAAACACGAACCCCGTCTTCCCCCTCCCCGGGCCAGGCCTCGGGGCGCGCACTGACCTGCTCTCTTGAAACAGAACTTGGCATCGCCACCCCTTTGACATAGTGCGATGACGCCACGGGCAAGGTCTGGGTTCCAGCACGAAAGGTCTTCAGTCATCGATGAGCCCGACGGCCCAAACAGCTCAGAGTCGCTCAGCACCAACGCACTTCCTTGCACGAGGGACAACCCCAGTCTACGGTGAGCACGTGCCCTCGTCCACAATGACTCGTGAATCGAGTCCTAACACAGGGGCCAAGCAACCACGGTGGGGGACACAGCAGATGGCGCTAAGCGGCCGGCACCCACGTCGTCATCCTGGCGAGGGGAGAGAAGGGTCTGGCTACTGCTCTGACCTTCACGGACCCTACAGCATGAGGGGCCAGAGACGCACCTACTGAGGAAGGACATGTAATTGCCGGTGGAGGACACAGCAGACGACCCCTTCAAACACCAGCAACACCAGTGCTGGGTACTTGTCAGAGAGCCGCACTGCTGAGTGTGTGGACCCTCAGTGGTGGCTCATGCCTGTTATCCCAGCACTTTGGGAGGCCCAGGTGGGAGGATTGCTTGAGCCCAGGAGTTTGAGATCAGTCTGGGCAACACAGTGAGACTTCATCTCTACCAAATTTTTTTTTTAATTAGCCAGATGTGGTGGCATGCCCCTGTAGTCCCAGGTGCTTAGAAGGCTGAGGCGGTCGACTGCCCAAGCCCAGGAGGTGGCGGCTGCAGTGAGCTGTGACGGTGCCTCTGCCCTCCCGCCTGGGTGACAGAGGGAGACCTCGACTCCAAAAAATAAAATAAAACTTTCTGGGACAGGGCTTCCTCTCTCCCAAGCATCATGATCTCTCATTTCTTCAAGGATAACAAATGGGACCGAGACATTTGTATCTTCTCAGTGGCGTTGGGGATGGTCTCATTGCTGCGACCAAGGCTTTGATCTAAGACATCTGGCTTCTTGTTTTAGAACAGACAGCATGTGAAACCCGGGAGGTGTCAGCAGGTTCAAACAGCAAAGGAAGATCCCAGAACCAGCCCCAAGTAACATCTGCTTTCATAAAAGCTCTGTTAAAAAGAAGGAATAACATCAAAATTTGTGTGACCTCGTCTCTGTACCAGGAATTCCCTGGAGGCCCGTGATTCATGGTTACAATTCTTGGACGGGCTCTTCCCTCTCCAGGCACAGGAGGGAATGTCCAGTCCCCCTTCTGAGACCACCAGCAGGAAAAGAGCCAGCAAGTGCTGTGGTTGAGAATCGGACGTTCCTAGTCCCACCAGCTCCCTTGCGACGAGGAGGATTAGCCCTGTCTTCCCAAGAGACAGGGCTAACACTGGTTGTGACCTCAGGGTTCCAAGGGTGTCTGCATGCTGACGGGGCCCCAGGCAAAGAGCAGATCACGTCTCTGAATTATAAACGGAGAGGCGTCTCCGCTGTTTTCAAATCTACAGACTCTCAGAAATAAACCAACCTACCTACCCATCTTTCCCAGCGGCAGCGACCTAAACCAGGCAGAAGTCTTGACGGACTCTTCCTGTCCTGTCCACCCGGACACATACCCGGGTGTGAAGAGGTGGCCATGAGGTGTGGAGACCGACTGAGCTTTAGGGACAGTCCATAGCCTGAGGAGCCAGCTTCCCTCGCGCTGGGGGAGGAAGGGTCTCAAAGTCCCTGTCATTTGCGAAAGGCCTCTGTGGATGGAAATGCCAAACTCTGTAAACTGTTGCAAGAGGTTTAGTCTGAGCCAAATGGGAGTGCCCTGGGCCTGGGGTACAGTCCCAAGAGGTCCTGAGAGCACACCTCAGAGGGCTGAATTACAGTCTGTCTCTCTACACTTTTAGGGAGACGGAAGTTACAGGCAAGAAACATAGGCTAGGCGCGGTGGCTCATGCCTATAATCCCAGCACTCTGGGAGGCCCAGGTGAGAGGACTGCCTGAGCCCACGGGTTCAAGACCAGCCTGGGCAACTTGGTGAGACCTCGTCTCTACAACAAATCAAAAACTGGCCGGCTGTGGTAGCACACGCCTGTAATTCCAGCTACTTGGAAGGCTGAGGCAGAAGGATCACCTGAGCCCGGCAGGTCGAGGTTGCAGTGGTTGCGAGTGTGCCACTGCCCTCCAGCCTGGGCGACAGAGTGAGAACCAGACTCAAAAACAAAGAAACACAACCCATACATGTGAGGCTGGCGCAGCTTGGGCCCGGAGAGGCGGGCTGTCTCCAAAGAGGAGAAGGGCGGGGCTTACGGTCAAAGGTTCCCTGACGGGCAGTTGGTAGACAGAGTTAAGCTGTGTCTGCAGAATTTGAAATTAAGAAAAGAAACGCTTGAGTTAAGATGAGGGGGTTTATGGAAGTCACGGTTCTCGTGACGCTGATGAGGCCTCCAAGGAGCAGCTTCAGAGAGAAGAAGGCGCAACACTCTTCAAAGTTGCCCTCTAGAGACGCAGGCTTCCCCAAGAGAGGGCTTGAGGGGTCCCTGCTTGAGGGGTCCCTTCAAAATAGGTCAAAGAGACGTATTTTGAGGGACACTCTTTCTGCTTTTCCCAGGGCCAGCCGTCTCCACATGAGGCCGCAGCAGAGTCAGTCAGCTTGGGATTGGGTGTCTTACCGCCTCGGAGTCTGTCTGGTGAGGCTTACGGCCTCTGTGTTGATGTCAGTGCTGGCCAGCTGTGCTTAAACTCCATGAAGGACGGGTGTAACGAGGCCTACCCGACCTCCCTCCCGTCAGGGTCTGGAATTCAGTTTTTCAGGTTCACCTTGGCCTGGAGAGGGGTCTGTTCGGGTAACTGGCGGGCTGGGAATTTTAATTTTGGTTTGCACTTTAAGAGCCACCAGGTGGGGGAAGGGACAGGGCCCTGTTTCTCTCCTCTTCGGGGACAGGGAGGGGACAGGAGGAGGAGGGGGCCCGCATGGGGAGGCCGGGCTGGCCGGGACCTGGGGAAGGAGGGCTGTGGGAGCTTTTCCACAGCCACTCGACGCCACTTGATGCCTCGCCCCCCCGTGAGTTCCCGTGGGCCCCCTCCCCTCCCAAGGTGGAGAGGCATGCCACGGGGCAGACGGCGGAGAGACGTGTGAGCCCGCGTGGCTCCCCTGTGGGGTGTGTCACGGTGATGAGAAGATGCCCAACTCTGTAAAACACCTTAAGCCGGGCTCCTCTAGCTAGTAGGAGTGGCCTAGGCTGGGGCACCCGTCCCCAGAGGCCCAGGGACATGTGGCTGGGCCACAGCTTGGTTCTGTGCACGTCAGGACAGAGGTTCCAGGGAGCTGTAATCAGTCCACGTGAGATCCACACTGGCTCGGTCCCGAGAGGCAGGACTTCTCCAGGGGGCTGGCAGGTACAGGTGCACTCGCAGTGTCCTGCCAGCCAGTGAGCCTGGTTATCGGCAGCGTTCTGAAAGCAGTGACAGACACGGGCAGCCTGAGAGGGCTGAGGGGAGCTCCTGACATGTAGGTGAAGGTTTATGGGCAGTGGAGACCAACGACTTCAGACAGAGCCGGGACTGTCTTAAAAGACGTCAGAGTCCCCCGAAACAGCTTTCCCAGGTCTGAGAGGAAAATGCTCTGACTGTCCTTTAGCTGCCAGAGCCAGGAGGAGAGCAAATCCCTCTTTGGAATCGGGAGTTGGCAATGATGGGAGAAAAGCCAGACTCCGTCATCATCACCACGGAGGCAGGTCTTGCTACCCACACGTGGATGCTGGTGGCTGCCACGTGAACACACTCACTCCCGCCACGGCCAAAGGACACGGGCGCCGAGTGTCACACCTGCAGTGGAAGGGCTGGTCACCTCGAGCTGGGGTCCGCCTCACCCCAAGCACCACAAGCGACTTCTGTGGACACTTCCTGAGTCTGTAAAGGGCCAGCCAGACACCAGCCGCAAGCTCACCCACACCACAGCCTGCTGGGGGCTCGGAGGACACCCTGGGCCCGCCTGCTTCAGAGGGGAAGAGACAGAGGGGCTGGGACGGTCCGGACAGCTGCCGAACGCCAGGCATGAGCTAGAGAGCCACGTGGGCCGGTGGAGTCAAAGTGCACAGAGATGGAAACGCCCCTTCCGCAGAGTCAGTGAACAGATCAAAACACACAGAGCCCAAGGGCAGGGGCCACCACACCCACCACCTGAGGCCAGTCCAGGCACACCTGAGCGTGGACAGCCAGCAGCTCTGATCTGGGGGCAGGGGGCGTGGGCAGGACACCCCATAGCTCCGAACCCAGAGGAGACAGATGTGCTTCGTGATACCCCAGGGAGGGACGGGAGGGAAGGGGCGCACAGAGCTCCCAGAGGGCCAGGAGTCCTGCCCAGCCTCAGATCTGCAGGTCCAGCTTCACTGCCGCCCACATGGGCACACCCATGTCCTGGGGTTTCATGGGAGCCGACCCCACCAAAACCCGGGTCAACCTGGACCAGATCCAGTCCCAGGATGTGTGACGGCTACAGCTCGGGAGCAAACTCATCACAAGGGCTTAGGCAGACACTTCTCCGAGAACCTCAGAACCACCCTCCCTCCCTCCGTCCACCAGATGGAGGCTCTCTTGCGTTTCGTGCAAATGGCCACAGGCCCTCGGGGAAGAGCAGAGGAACCCGCCTGACCTGCCAGTCACAAGGGCCAGTGGCTGCATGATGCCACTTACAGGAAACGTCCAAGTGGGCAAATCCGTGGAGAGAGAATGACGATCCGTGGCTGCCCAGCTGGGGGTTGCAGGAGAAGGTTTGAGGCGACTGGCAGTGGGCACGAGGCTTCTTTTGGGGGTGATGAGAATGCTTCAAAATAATGCTGGGTGCAGTGGCTTGTATCTGTCAGCCCACACTGAGGCGGGAGGATTGCTGGAGCCCAGGAGCTCAAGACCTGCCTGGGCAACAGAGCAAGCCCTCGTCTCTGCAGAAAAACGTTTTTAAAACTTAGCCAGGCATGGCGACCTGTGCCTGTAGGCCCAGCTACTCGGGAGGCT